TCCCAATTTAAGGTGTGTACTGCATTGTGACAGATCAACTCCAAAGCAACATCCTCCTCTGGATAGGACTGCACAAAGACTGGGGCACAATAGCAACCTCTGGTTCCCACTGCACAGAAGTGGGTTGCATCCATAAAATATAAGCAACCTCATCCTTCAGATAGAATTGCACAGAAGCTGCATCCAACATCAACTTTCAGGACCCATCAAGTGGAGGTGGAGTGTGTTTATTTGTAGACAGGCACATCATCATCCCCTGCATAGGACTACACAGAAGTTGGAGAGCAACATCACCCTCCTGGTTCCATCACACATAAGTGGATCGCAAGTGGATTGAAAAGCAGACCGCTCCTGATTTATTCAATCGTAGGGACAGCAGGGATGGGCAGATATCCCCTTCTGCTTCACCCATGTAAGTCCATAGGTTAGTACAGTTCAGAAAGGGCATATTATTGAAGCAAATATATCGCAAGGAAACCTACTAGCAATCCTGTGAAACACCTCATCTCAAAAGTGTGTGTTATTGGCCAAGGATATATTGATTTATTATTATTTCATCATGGCTGTATAAGTGCAGATTTGAGATATAGAAAAAATACCTGGGCAAGCAATGCTCGCCACAGAGCAGGATCCGTAATGAAAAAAGACACATGCCACTGAAAGAAAATAAGATATATATATAAAAAAAAGAGAATTTACCCAGTCTCACACTCACCAAAGTTAAAAGGATGGCAATAGGTGGAAGACTGTACCCTGATGAGGATAGTGGGAGATGAAGGTATGAGGTGTAGTCCACATGCCCAACGGAAGTGAGACGGCAGGGAAAATGTAAGGTGCTGGATCTGATACAATGACACCTGGAATAGATTTCGGGAAGAAAGAGACAGGGATGAATATATCAATTGAATCAAATTCCGAACGCAGTTGGTAAGAGTAGAAGGAGAAAAGGTCACGAACAGAGGAATGTTGCCAGGGGATGAAAAGGTGGGAACGGGAACCACGGAATGAAGCCAAGTGGGCAACGTAACAATGAAGAGCAAATACAGGACATAGAAGTCTCTATGGAACAGACTAGGAATAAAAATATGAATGAAAGAAAGCAAAATTAGCAAGAAGGAAGAATTGCCCTTGTGAGCCACCAAAGTTTCAGAGAGGAAAGAACGATCCAAATAAAGGAGAACATATACGAAATGGTACAGTGTGTGAAATGTTAATGGCAAATATATCTGACCAACGACTCCCATAAGCTAACAGCAGTAGGAAATAAGTCTTAAGGGATAAGTGAAATGAAGAACAGGAGGACAAAGGTTCAAATGGAGGTAGAATAAAGCAGGGAAGAACAACACTGACATTCCAATCCAGAAGGACCACCCAACAAGAAGGTCTATGAATCAGGAAGTAACAGTACAAAACAGAGAGGGTAGGGGAGGTAAACACTAAAAATTACCAAGAAAAATGGAAGGTGTGGGATAAGGCTGCTCGATAATCACCAATGGAAAAGACTGAAGTAATATGATGGCGCAGCCAAGTGAGGAAATCTATAATAAGAGGAATAGTGGATTGAGAAGGGGATAAACCCAGACCAATGGAAAATATGTTCCATTTACACTGATAGACTGCCAATGAGAAAGAGCGAATGAAAATGTGCTAAAAAGGAATAGACCTGCAGAGACGATCCAGATATCCTCACCAAGTACCTGATAAATGCCAGGTATGAAGACAGAAGGTAGGAAGGGCAGGATGAATTACCAGGGACCAAGGTTGACATAGAAGGGATGGAGTGAGAGAAAGAGGCAGTTTGGAGCTGAAGTAGACAAGGAAACCATGGTTGTATCAGCCACTAAAGAGCATTCAGAAGGGCTTGACACGAAGTGGCATGGATGATCAAAATCACCCGGGAAAAAATCAGATGTGAGGATAAACATAAAGGTACTGTTTGGTCCAATCCTGGCTAAGCATATCGACAGCTAGGGCATGTGGATGATGAACCAAAGACCAAAAAAGAGGTAACTTGGTATTGAGGAAAGTGAAAAATGCATCCAGCTGAGGAAAACCCCACTGGAAAACCTAATAATTGAGAGACAACTCTGTGGGGTAAGTTGTGTCTGGTGTGGAAATACAACCCACCACAAGATCAAAAGCATCTGGAACATGACTTGCAAGGAAACATATTCCCAACATGTTGGGTCAAAAGAGGAGATTTTTTAACATTCCAATCCGAAAAGACAGCCCGCCGCAGTGGACGACAAATCCGGAAGGAATGCATCAACAGGGAAAGAGTAGGAGAAGTAAACATCCTATGGTATAGGGAAAAAAAAAAAGAAAGGAGTGGGACAAGGCCACCCAATAACCCAAGTTCAAAGAGACAGAAAACCCTCAAATGAAAAGCCAAGTTAGAAAATCTGCAGTACGAGGAACTGTGGACTGAGCAGGAGAAGACACTTGACCAACGTAGGAAAAAGTTCCATTTACACTGATTAACTTCCATGGAGAAAGGGTGAATGGAATGAGCCAGAAATGAAGCTACATGTCAGGACAAGCCAGATCACCTCCCCAATGACCGGATTAAAATCAGGTGTGAAGATGGAGGAAGGGAAGTGATGGATGAAGTACCATTGACTATAGTTGACAAAGAAGGGATAGAGTCAGAGGAAGAGGTAACGGATGGGTAAGTTGAAGCTTAAGAAGCCGCAGAAACCACAACTGAGCCGGCCAGTAAGGAGCAATCAGAAGGACTTGACACAGAGTGGCATGGATGACCAAAATCACGCAATGAAGAAGTCGATTGGGAGGACAGACATATAGATATTTGTTTTGACTCCAACTGTGACAAACATGCTACCAAAGAGGAAAGGGTAGAGTTTGATGCACAGACTCCAAACGTGATTCTAAAGTCTCAGGTACATGATTGAAAACATACTGCCAAAAAAAAGGAGCCATACTAAATCTCCAAAATAAGGGGGTGCCAAACAAACCTGGGACAAAGCCACATCTTGACCCAGAAGATCCCAATGACAGAGAAACTACGTGTGAAAAGTGAGAGCCTAAGATGACAAACTAGCCAACATAAAGATAATAAGGGGAGAGGCTTTCCCTCAAAAAACCCTCAGGGTCTCAGTGGATCACCTTGAAAGGAGATGGATAGCAGATAAATACCATAGATGGAAGTAAAGGTAAAACAAAGGTGTGAAAACTGGACATGGGTTAAATGCACAGGAAAATCAGGGACCACCCCCACACACAGGTAAAATCGACCACAACTGTTGAGATTTGAGAAACGGACAGTCAGCCTGATGGTAAGCTGTTTGCCAACTGGTCTGTAGCCCATGGAGGGTGAAGCATGATGGCCCCCTCAAACAATTGTGAAGCAAATTGCTCAGTATGAACCTGAATATCTGGGGAGGGTGGGAAAATTAAATATGTAGAGAAAGAACTATCATGCAACAAAGAAGGATGGGGATCACAGAAAATGGATAAAACATCACATACTGAGAAATCATGTCTAAAAATGCGGTATTAGGCCTAGCTGATTCCACAGTTGTGGCTAGGAAGACACAGCAAAATCCAGTGGTGGAAAAAGGCTATAAAAATCTTCATCAGCCTGAACAGGTTCAGCTTGCTTAGGAGGAAGTGGAGGAAGTTTAGGAAAAGGAGGTCAACCCATATAACGATCAATCTCACAGCAGAGAATTGCAGGTAAATTCAATGACTGGTCTCCCCCACCTGTCAAAAAGTAGGAGGTATGATACTCTAAGTAGTAACATGAACCTCAGAATTCATTGTAGAAATATATATCAAACAGAAGTGTTTGATGTAAAAATGCAAGTGTTAAAAGGAAAAAAAACAAAGACTAGGAAATGAAGTAAAAGTAAAATATTTCTTCAATATAAAGAAAAAAATTAATGAAGAAATCCCACTTCAGAAATTAAACGCTTAAAGTCACGAAGGTGAATCACATGAAGAGCACCCAAAGAAAAATATGTCTTAACATGAGCACTGCCAAATGAGAAGTGATAGTTCAGTAGAATTGAACAGAGGGAGTCACATACGTGGAAGTAATGTATCATAATAGAATCATGAGAAAGCTGAGCAATATCGGGAGAAGAAGGGTTACTGATACAACAATCAATTTCCCGATGAATTAAAGCTGAAAATTCCTCAGTCGAGGTCCCCTGACCTGAGGCCTGTGTAATTGTGCTGGAAGAAGGTGGAAAACATCTGAAGTGGTAACATGAACTTTGGAATTCATCATAAATGGTGAAGAATTTCAAAAAAATAAGAACAAACAAAGGTAAGTTATTGGGTCAAACCACAGAAATAAACTGTAGTAAAATATTGCAATAATATCTACTTTGAAAAAATATTAAAGAAAAACACACGAAGAAAGCACACTAAAAAAATATCTGCCTAAAAAGAAGTGATAGTTTGGCAGAATCAAATAGAGGGAGTCACATGTATCAGAAGGTGTCATACTCCTATTGGTGAGTGGTTTTTGCATGATGGTTTACATGCTAGATGCAGTTGAACCCCATTGATCATGGGGTATGTGGGAGTTCAAGACTTGTAGAATGCAATAACATTTTTGCATAAAGAGGGCAGCACGGAATGATAATAGCTATTTATGCGAGAGGAGGTCATGTACCATCTTGGAAGATCCTGTAGTTATCATGCCATGTATCTAAAGTGTCTGTGTTTCAGTTATGGTGCTTTTTATGAGTTATTAATTTTTATTAATGCAAATTCAGAGGTGGCCATTATACTGCCACACTTAAAAGGTTAAATAAAAACAAAGTCAAGTTATCTCAGAAAGTATAAGCCTTGTGTCACTGATTTTCCTAATGATACTAATATATTGTATGACATGATAAATCAACTGTCTATGTCAAAGCCAACAAATCATTATTCATAAATAATATAAGGCTTTCAATTTAATTTGTAAGTACATGAATATTTCAAATAATTAGAAGATTTTTTTGAGATAAAAGTAATTAGTTCCTCACCTGATGGATTGTTCGTATGTAAGGATCTTCAACTTCAATCCTCGTGACAGAGTCTTCAAGAAATGGACCAAAGACTTTCTCATAACTATAGCCACTTTCATTGTTGTTAATATGTATCTGTTCATGGTAGGTTCCAGCTGAAATAAAAAATAATAATATAAACAACAAACAAATCTTGTGCATATTAAACCCATATATAAAAAAAACACTCCTGTTTACATCTCCTTAAGAGCTCAAACTTATACTGAACAAAATGTGTTTCATTTAGAGAACTAAAACTTCAATAGAAAATTAATATATAACAAAAACATATAACACATACAGTAATCAATGTTCAGCCAACTTAACTGGGAATTCAAATTTTTTAAAAGGTTCATATTCTTGTAAGATATGCATAATTAGTTAAACTTGCCTTCTTTTTCTTTTTGGACAAGCTTCTTCATTTGTTCTGCTCTGTCCATATAATCAGAGGCTTTCTGCCTGAGATGTTTCTTCTTAGTATCATTAGTGGTCTCTAAAAAAAAGTTTCTCATTATCAGTATTTCAGTTACCTTCAAATGCTTTTGTACATAAAATATCAAATTTTTCATTAATGTATAAGATTTTTTAAGCAATGTTTTTCTCATGCCTTTTTTTTCTTTTGGAATGTTGACTATCCAACATGCAAAGTAATTTTCATTTTAAGATTAAAAATATTTTTATGCATCAGAAAATTTCACATGCAAAATATTTGTAACCTCCAAATAATTATTAAATGTTTTTTCAGAAGAAATTTGATATTTTATCTGTTATTTTCACTATCAAATCTCTGTACAGGTTTGGTCGATTTGACTGACCTTGTAATCACTATAAAAAATTAGGAAATAAATATAAATTATGCTTTTTTCATTCTAGAATGACTACAAATCATAACACGAAAACACTTAATAGCTTAAATCTCATAAAATTATACATTTATACATATTTATTATTTTTATTACACTGACCTTTTCAGCCATACCTGTCTAACATTACAGAAGTTGCAATGACACGGTGCACGTCACTCATGTTACCGTATCCAAGAATATAAAACTGGCCTTTACAAAGTGACCTGTCTTGGCTGTGTTTTAGTGGACTAGCATTTTGTAAAATACAGTCACATTTCAGTTATAATACATTATATATGTATATACATTATTACAATTTACAAATAAGTTTGAAAACTTATTTTTATTAAAACATAGAACAGTAAATAAAGAAGAACAGCAAACAATTATCTCTTCTAGTTACGAACTATGTACTCCTTTGGTGCTTGCTGTAGGATGCTAAGACTTGTCAAATTTCACATCCTCGTGTGACAGAAGTAGGTGTACGTAAACATAGAACATATACAAATAGGAGGTTTATATTCTAGCTTGTCAATATTAGTAACTAGAAACTGTATTTGGACATCACAAACATCTAATTTGAACCAATGCTGCATTCAACATCCCATGTGACACACAAAAATTGATATTTAGGTGTGTTTTTGTTTTTAATATTTACTTTCAAATTAAAAAGTAATTATTGTATAATACTAAAATTTGAATTATAATCTAGTTTGATCTAAACTTATTGACATAAGTTCATAAAATAGTAGTGGAATAATATTTTGAATGCGAGTCAATAAACGTGATGAATGGCCTTTGACTCATGACCTGTGTCAATAAGGTTAATTACATTTTTTGGTCTTATTAGAATAATGTGATATTCAATTATTAAAGCTGTAACCCTTTAATAAATTAAAAACTGAATATATCTTTATTGAAGTTTTTTCTGATAAATTTTACAAAACATGAAGTTAACATATTCCTTACTTGAAAATATATTTCAAATAGATACTTGTCTCTACCACCAAGAGCTATTACCTTGCATGCAACTGCCATGAAGTTTCCTACAAACTTGAACAAACTCCCATCCCCACACATCTACGTGAATTGTAGCAGCCTATAGTATAATCATCATAATGTTGTAGCTTTCCATCAACAGGAAGGTGACACAACCTCAATATGCAGTAATTCCTGTGAGCACTATCACATGACCACAGACTCTTTCTTGACAAGCCAAACAAAATGCATCAAACGTAGAGGGAAGGGTGGGAAGTGGCAGAAAGGTAAGTATCTACCTGAAATACATTTTCAGGTAAGAAAATGTTTACCTTGAAAATGTTACTTAACTCTCTGCACCATTAAGATCCTACATTGAAGATGGTGGATATGATGATGTTGATCAATTACAAAGATGAGATCCTTTACAAAACAGTGACAGAAAGAAAAAGTCCTTGGGGGGTGTGACTTCCACAAGACTGTGAATTGCCTAATGAAGCAGTTCCTGGTGGGAGACCTCATCTTTCCCAAGTAGGGAATACTCTTCGAGTAATTCTTTTGTTTGTTTTTTACTGAGATACTAGAGCAAAGAACATCAAGAAAATCTAGTGCCAGTTGTTATGTGTGGCGTGGCTAGGGCCTTAGACCATTCAGGAAAATCTAGTGCTAGTTGTTATGTGTGGTGTGACTAGGGCCTTAGACCATTCAGGAAAATCTAGTGCCAGTTGTTATGTGTGGTGTGGCTAGGGCCTTAGACCATTCCATCTTAGTCAAGTACGTACATAAGATAGACACTATAACAACAGATGGATGAAGGCAAATCCAAGTTCAATCCTATCAGAAACAGCTTGGGAGATACTGTAATTGTATAACCTGTAGTAAATAAGGGTTCTCAAATGCTCCACTAGATGAACATGTGTGTGTGGAGGAGGAAGTAGAAGTGTAAAGGAGAATACCGAAGAGTGCATGGACCAGTCATTAGGAACAATCATCTAATATTGAGTCCCAAGTGAGAGATACTGCAATAGGTTACAAAGAGGTAAAACAGCAAGCACCAGCTAGGTATAAAGACAGGGATACACCTGGTGCTATCTACGTGTTATTTTTTGTAAAGATATATGAAAACACTGCTAAAGCAGTCTTGCAGAAAACTCCATCTCAACAGTGAACACTGAGAAGGGGTAGATTGTTTCAACATTTTCTGTACTCCCCTACTCAGTGCAGATTTTGGGTATTACCTGTGAGGTAACCCTGGCTACTCAGCAGGATCTAGTGACACCAGACATAATAAATGTAGTGTTTAGAGCAAAATGTTGTGGACATTGTTTTTTTAACTCTCTTGTATGCAGTTATGTATAGAAATATCAGTACACACAAGATACTGTCAGGAAATGTGTCAGTGGCATGGAAAACATATAAGATCAGTAACAGAACTGGAAACTAAAATCAACATGCAAACTCATCACACTACAGCCTCTAGGTAAACTGGAGAATGGTGAACAGAGTGAAAAACAAACACCAGAGGCACATGAAACCATCTAATAGTGGAAGTTATGGAAGATGAATGTGTTAGGTGTAGACCACATACCAGCCTGCAAAACCACTTTCAAAGGTCAGCATCGAAAAGAAGCAAGAAAGGCTGGGATATGATGAATCTGATGGAAGGTGACCTTAAAAAGCATCTGGTCAGACTTAACCAAAGAATACTTTGCCAATCACATGAGTCAATGTACCAAATCAGTAAAATGGAAGGGAATAAGTCTTGAAAAAGCAATGAAAAAAACTAGGCAATGACAGTGTCTATAAAAGGGTCAGTCCAGGAGGGATAGTACTGGAAAACCCTAATATACATAAAAGACAATCAGGAATGGAACAATCATAAAATGAAGAAATAGAAGAGAAAGAGTTGGAGGAAGGAATCCAGTCACCCTCCCAGGATAGTCTAAATCTTTGGAAGAAATGAGCAATCAGGAAACAAGTCCACCAGTCCTCATGACAGAGCACAGAAGATAGCAAATACATCACCGGCAATCATCAAAACAGATGGGCCTTCATAAAATAAAAACAGATAAAGCATATATCCCTAAAGCAAGTGCCTCTCTGGAGGTTGATGTAAGAAACAACCATAGAAATGTTGGAACAGATCATCAAGAGATGATCCAACAACCACAACCAAAGATTTTGGCAAGCCCACATAACTGCAGACATTACCAGAATATTGATAACCAGAGACTGCTCCTTTGGATACCAATTCATGGAGATATTGGAGTTGTTAAGAACTGCCCCTCCTCCAACTGGAAAGGAAAGTATTGGTAGAGAAAAGGAAGGGGGATCACCTGGGTTACATTGTAACAATCAAGCCACCACAACAAAGAGAGGTGGAAAGAAGAGGCATAAGAACAGATAAGGGATCACAGAACATATGTCACAGATCATTCACAGTCCACTAAAGGGAACACATGTAAAGAGAAGTCATAGACACCAAGAGATAGAGAACCTCTTGCACAGGAAGAGAAGGAAAGTGAAGAGCTTTCTACACCAAGAATTCCATGGCATGAAGAAGCAAGAAAAATGTTTAAGTCTGACCTTGAATGAGAATCAAGAAAACTCCCAAGGAGATGTCAAAGACATAAAGGGTCGGAGGGCAGAGAATAGGTGAGAGGATGAGAAGATAGAGGAGGTGGAGTAGGAAAAGCAGGGTCAGATCTTAAAAAAGAAAATGCACAACCCAAAGGTTGCCAGTGAAGAAAGACTTCAGGTGTGCAAAGGATCAGCTCAAGGGAAGAGGTATACTGCTGATGGTCTCAATAGCCTTCCATGTTGGAGAGGAAAAGGCAAGTATAAGCCATAGGACAATGAACAGTAGAAAACAACATGTGGTTTAGTGAGAAAGGAAACCAGAGAATCAAAGGAAGACTGTTAGCAAGCAGTCCAAGCCCAAGATTCCAAGGAATTGGGAACACTCCCAAAGATTGGTGCAGTGATAAAGAGGTAAGACTTAGTCAAGGAGAAATGGAGGTAAACACCCAAAAGGAAAGATTCCAGATTGAGAAGATCCCAAGTCAAAACAAACAAAAGACGAAGAAATAGAAGACAAAGGAGCAAATAAATAAGAATGGATGTCCCCATCAAAACTCTTGAGGTCATGATGAGAAGCCATAGTGAGGAGGTGATGGGTGGAGATATATCAAAGGAGAGGAGTTATGATGAAAATAAGCTGATTGTAGAAAAGAACAACTTGACAGGAAAAACATAACACCCCAAACAGACAGAAGGGACAAATATGATTGTGGTTCAAGAAAAATAGAAGGGCAATGATATTAGGTCATAGAAAAGGAGTCACAAAGACAAGGAGGACACAGATCAACATGGAGATGGGACAAAAGAGAGTCCATGAAGTAAAGCAACCCAAGAATCATTATAGCATACAAGCAAAAGAGACAACCACATAACTGATATGAATGTGGCAAACAGAAAAGGAGGTATCTGTTCCTCATCAGAGAGGTAAAAGCCAGAAGGAAAGGTTGAAGAGTTGGCCAAAATTGATCATAGATGAGGCAGGCTCCAACAAAGACAATGAAACAGAACTATTAGGAACATGGACTAGAGAATAGTACACAGAAGGGAACCAATCACCTGATGAATAATAACAAAAATATGTTTAAAAAAC